TTTTCATATTCGGGAGGCCCACTTCTTTTTTTTTTTTACAACAAAAGTTTTTATTTTTCAGGTTCAAATAACCAAACAATACAAAATGAATTATCATACATCATTTCCCCCCCACCCCCCCCTCCCAACTCCCCCCTGACTTCCCAGAGGAAAAACAGGATATAGCATTTAATAAACATAAGCTAAAATATACTAACTACTACAGGATTCAAAACTCTCTCACACTCGTTAACTCCCCCTTTAAAAATTCTACTTCACCCTTCCTTTTATAAATTCTCTTATCACATTTCACATTTATAAAGAAAGAAAAAAAAAAAAAAACTACAGTCTTAATTTAAGCATTTTAAAATCTCTCAATACATTAAGGAAACATTCTCCAAAATATAAGCTTCAAAACTTTCAAGAAGTTATCCATTAATTTTTAAATTAGCCATCTTTAAATTTCAATATTTTAAAACTACAATAAAGTTCAAAAAGTTATCCAACTCTAGTTAAACCTTTTAACATCATAAAAGAATCTCCCAAATATAACCAATCTTTCTTTCTTTCTATATTTTTCCCTCCTTCATACATTAAGAAAACATTCTCCAAAATATAAGTTTCAAAACTTTCAAGAAATTATCCATCAATTTTTAAGTTAGCCATCTTTAAACTTCAATACTTTAAAACTACAATAAAGTTCAAAAAGTTATCCAACTTTAGTTAAACCTTTTAACATCATAAAAAAATCTCCAAAATATAACCAGTCTTTCTTTCTTTCTATATTTTTTCCAGTCCTTCATCAATAATACTTTCTTCTTCAGAATTATTTCTCCCCCTGCTTTTATTTTCAAGATTTGTTTGGTTTGAAATTGTAGTTGGTGTGTCTTTGGAATTCGTTCTCTTCTTGGAGTTGTTTCCTTTAAATTGAAACCCCCATTTCGACTCCTCCTGCATTTGTAGTCAATCAGTTCGTTCCTGATTCTGATTCTGATTCACTGATTCTTTCTGTAGAGCCAAAACTTGTCAAAATATTTATCAACCTGCAGTAAAGAATCTTCTTGCTGTTTTTCAATTAATTGAATGGAAGCCTCTTCCAAAACCTCTGTTTGCAGTGTAATAACGTCCATTTTAATCCCGACAGTATCTCTTTTGTCCTCCAAAGTCACATTATCCTGATTACTTTCCTCCTCTTTTCCAGCCAGCAAGTCATTTTTATTCCCCAATTTAAAATCTTGAATAGTTCTTTTAATTATCTGCCTTATCTCAACAGTAAAAGATTTTAAGAAATCTTTTAAATCCTTCGCAGTCACCACTTGTGGGTTTGCTGACTCATATAATCCATCTTTAATTTCAGCCATTTTCAATTGCCTCTTTATATTTGTATTAATTCAGCTATCAGGTTGTTAAATCCAATTATTTTCCACACAAATTAAAGATGTAAATTAGCTAAAATCAGTACCATAGTCTTTTCCATTTCACTTCCACTTTAAATCTTTTTCTTAAATAACCCGATAGCTTTAACAATGTTACTAATGTTAACAAAGACTTTCACTTATAAGTTTCATTTTCACAGGCACCATCTTTCCCTTTTTAAATGGAGTTAACATTCAGTACTTGCATTTTTATCCTCCTGGATTAACTCTGCCAGCATCTAAAGTCCAAATTCTTTATAATCTTCAATTTGCTTTGCTGGTGTGGTCGCGACGCTTTAGTCTGCTTATTTTTAAGCTGACTCGTCCCAGCTCCGGAACTTCAAAGGGCTTTCAGGGAGCTCTCACCCTGCAAACCCCAGGCTTAGAAAAAAAAAGCCTGGGGGTCTAGGGGAGCTCTACCCAGACCCTTCTGCTCTTCTCTCCCCCTTTTTCCCTGTGGGAGAGTTTTAAGCCGCTAGACAGCTGTTTTTCGCTGTTCTAGCGGCTATACTGGCATTCGCAGAGCCACAGGAAGTCTGTGGAGCCACAGGAAGTAGGAGGCCACGCAGCATGCCCGTGCCACCACCATGAGGCAGCAGAGTTTAGCTGCTACACATACCCCACAGCAGTTTACCTCAGGGCCCTCGGGCCATCCACACCCCAACAGCTGCCCCATCTCACGGCCACTGCAACTACACACCACTCAGCCTCCTTGCTCTGTTGCAGCTGCAAACAAGTAGAAGAAGTAGGCGGCGGCCATGTGGGCTCCTGCTACATATGGTTTGTAGTGCTGCTACTGCAAGACAGATGTCAGGGCATGGGTAGCCTGGATGTGGGGGCTCTGAGGTAAACTGATGTGGGGAGTGTGGGGCAGCACCACCACACCCCTGCCTTGTCTTGTGGCCATGGCACTGCAAGCAATCAGATGGAATGGAATGTGGCCAGCTGCACAGGCTCTTAAGTAGGACTTATTTTGAAGGTATGACTTATATTAAATGGATTTGTAAAAAAACATGCTAGGGCTTATTTTCAGAATAGGTCTTATTTGGGGGGGCAGAAAGAACCTATGACACTGTTATAATTGTAATGTCCCTTGTGATCCCATTTTTAATGTGTTCTCCTGTGATAGAAGTTTTAATATTCTTAAGTACTATATTCACATACCTATGTGGATATACACCATGAAATGAATAGCATGGTAATGAAGACATGAGTTTAAAAAATAATTTTTCCATTTCAGATAAGCTAAAATAAAATCTATGTTTGTGCAAATTGCCCCAATTCTCAATATGCTGCAGAATATTTATGTAAAGTTTTTATAACTGTATTACTATTGGTTCGTATATGAAATATATTGATTTGTTTCTTTTTCAATTTTGTTTTGTTTACTTCTTATTTGTTTTTATTTTCTTTTGTATTTTATAATTTGATAAACCAATCAGATTTGAAAACCAGTCCTCTGCAGCCCGCCTGATAGTGAAATGAAAAAGACTATGGTATTGACTCTAACTACTTTATACTTCTAAATTGTGTGAAAATTATTGGATTTATTGACCTGATAGCTGAATAAATTTAAAGTGGAAATTGAACTATGGCTGACATCAAGGATGGAGGATCATTACTATATGAGCCAGCAAATTCACAAGTTGTGACTGTAAAGGCTTTACAAGAACTTTTAAATTTCTATACTTCTGCTATATTGGAATCAATTGAAAGGACTATTCAAAATTATAATCTGGAGAATAACAATGTTTTGCTGGCTGGAAAAGAGGAAGGAAATCAACTTATTTCGACTTTGGAGCAGGGAAAAGAAGCTGTCAGGACCACGATAGAAGTTGGCACACTGAAAACAGAGGTTTTGGCAGAAGCTTCTATGCAGTTAATTGGAAAGCAGCAAATAGACTCTTTCTCGCAGACTGTTTCAAGGAAGGAAGTGACTGATTATATAAGCAGGAAGAGTCGAAATTGAGGTTTTAAATTGAAGGAGATAACTTTTAGAAGAGAACAATTTCCAAAGATGCATCAGCCTCAAATTTATATTCAGAAATTTTCGAAAATAAAAGCAGGGGGCGGAGCAATGTTGAAGAAAGTACTATTGCAGAAGAAGGACTGGAAAAAATATAGAAAGAAAGGAAAAATTGAAGATTAGGTTCTTTTGGGAAGGATTTTAATACTAAATTTGAAAAGTCTACTGAAATTAGTATCTTTTAAGTTTAAGTAAAAATGTTTAACTAAAAATGGATAGCTTTTAAAAAAATTATCAAGGTATTAAAATGGTTAACTTTAAACTTAACTGATAATTTTCGGAAAGTTTTGAAACAGATATTTTGAAGGATGAACTCAAGAGTTAGAAATAATTTAACTCCATGGATTAATAGTATTTTAAAGGTTATATTGTGAAGAATATTCTATTGAAGTGTTTTTGTTTTTTTTGAGAAGAGAAAAAAGGAAAAAAAAAACTTACTGAAGTATTAAAATGGCTAATTTAAAATTGAATGGATATAAAATAATATTTTTTTTCTTCTTCTTAAGAGATATGCTTTAAAGAAAGTTTTATAATGTTTAAATTAGAATCCTAAAAGGGGAGGCTGATGAACAATTTTCTAAAGAGGAGTGAGGGGGTTGTGAATCTTGTAGTAAATTAGTATATTTTAGCTTATGTTTATTTAATGCTATACCCTGTTTTTGCTCTGGGAAGTCGGGGGTGGGGGTTGGAAAGGGGGGGTTGAAGGTTGTGTGGGGATAAAATGGTTGTTTAATTCTTAATAACATTAAAAGATGGCTTAATAAATAAATGTATTATTAATAAATGTATTAATAGAGAAGTAAGAAAAGTGGGAGAAATGTTATAATAAAGGAAATGATGATATTAAGATATGATAAATATTGGAAGAGCAGAAAGAAGACACAAAAGATATATTTAGAAGATATATTGACTGATTGATTATGTATTGTTTGTTTGTTCGTCTATAAAATAAAAAACTTTTTGAATAAAAAAAATATTTCCTGGGTGTCGCATCACATGTCCAAAATATTCTAACTTTGGCCTTTTAATGGCTTTGATGATTTCCCTTTGTTTTCCCAGATGGCTTATCACCTCCTCATTTGTGATTTTGTTAACCCAGCTTATACGTAACGGCCATCTGTAATTGCACATTTTAAATGCTTCTAGTTTCTTCAAGTGGCTTTCTGTCAGAGACCAACTCTCTACTCCTTAGAGCAGGATAGAAAATTTCACTTTTAAAAAAGGAAATTGCTAACAGAAAATCACGGTTCATCTTCAGCCTATGAGCTTTACATTTATACTTATATTTAAATTTCATATTTCTTTAAATGCAATTGAGTAATTTCAAACAGTTAGGTGGATAGTTAGAAAACTTTAATTCATTGACTTGATAACAGGTTCTCTCTGGTTTTGCTCAAAACATACTAGTACTCTCCCTCTAAGTTCTGTGAGCCTCCCTATTCCATCAAGATTTAAGAGTTATAAATAAATCAGGATGGAAACACACACCCCTTCAAAAAAAAAAAACCTTAAAATTTAATTTTGAATTTTGATGTTTCTCTTCTCAAATTTAAGACATCATAAAAAAAATAAAAAGGTATTTAAACAAATCTTCTTATCAATTGTTCTCTGTTATTTAAATCAGACCTAAATACAATAATGTAACACTTGGGGAAAAAGATGCAACCTAGGAGCCCAGCACTGGAGGACAAAATGGAGAAGATCTCCACAGCCACCATGGCTTTTCCCCTGGTGCTCAGGTACGTTGGGACAAAGGAGACCCACACACTGCAGAAAGCCAACATGCTGAAGGTGATGAACTTGGCTTCATTAAAGCTGTCAGGAAGTTTACGAGCCTGGAAAGCCACAATGAAGCTGGCAAATGAAAGGAGGGCCATATAGCCCAGGACACAATAAAACATAACAACTGACCCCTCATTGCATTGTAGGACCATTTCTTCAGTTGTTGAATGCATGTCTAATTCTGGGAATGGGGGAGAGGTGGATAACCAAACAATACAGATGCTTGCTTGGAATAGAGAGCAGAGAAGGACAATAGAAACAGCCAGTCTTTTCCCCACCCATGACCTTATCCGAGATCCTGGCTTGGTGGCCTTGAAGGCGAGAGAAACAAGGATAGTTTTGGCCAACACACAAGAGATGGACAATGAGAAGGTGAGGCCAAATGCAGACTGTCTGAGGAGACAGGTGTCTCTCCCAGGTTGTCCAATAAAGAGCAAAGGGCAGAGGAAGCAGAACAGAAGGGAGATGAGGAGAGTGTAAGTGAGATCCCGGTTGTTGGCTTTGACAATGGGACTGTCTTTGTGCTTAATAAATGTTCCCAACACCCATGTTGTAGTGAGGAAAAATAAAGTAGCAACAGTGGTTAAAATGATTCCTAAAGGTTCTTTATAAGACAAGAAGCTAATTGTTTTCATGATGCATCCATCTTTCTTATGGTTTGCGTATTGATCATCAGGACATTGAAAGCAAGCAACAGTGTCTAAAAAGAAAAAAACAATATCAACACAGATTCATGAGAATGATCATTATTAATTTTCACATTGATCCATACCCTAATGTTTATGCCTTTGTACCAAATATAGGACCTACAATATGAAAATTCCTTTGAACATTTCCCTATGTATATTTTGTGTATTGCGGTATTAAGTCAAATATTACTTTGATTATACACAAGGAAAATTAGCAAACACCATGAAAATCCATGTTATCTTGATTTGCTTTCTTGTGATATAGGAGTGCTCCAATGAAGATTTGTGAATATCTGAAGAGATTATTTTCATATTTAAAACCATATTGAATTATTGAATATTGAACCATAATGATCACATTTCAAAATATGGTAGCTAAGTATAATATATTCACCAAATTCAAAGTGAAAATGAAAGATAGTGTATCAAAGAGGAAATTGTAAAAAGATGAGTAATTATGTATTTTAAGGGAAAACGAGAGAAGGAAATGGGATTAACTGCTTCTGTAAGAGAAGTATATATCCCCTTTTATTATTTTTAATATTAAGAATATTATTATTTTTCCTTTCTTTCTATGTTTCTTTTACCATTTTATTTCTTGGGTTAACCCCCATAAAGAGAATTTTGGAATCAGTCCGCATTACATATAAACTTAGCTATTACACACCAAGAAGGGTGATCCCCAAAGAAGAATACTTTGGGGAAAATATGAATAAGGATTTTTTTTAATGAAGCAAAATTGTGCAGAAATAGATAGATGATAGATAGATGATAGATAGATAGATAGATAGATAGATAGATAGATAGATAGGGTGACTTAATGGAAATAAAAAATAATTAAGATTTAAAGTAGAAAGTGATTTAATTCTATTTCTCATTATGACTACAGGATTCTCATTATTATTAAAATATGTGTTTCATTAGTTTGTCCACTCTTCCTAAGAAGTAATAAACTCCATAAATTTCAGAAATTCTTGTTTTCATTATTGTATTTCAAGAGTGTCCTTATTTAGTTAGTGCACATTGGAGGTTTTTGGATTCCATAGTACTGTAGTACCAAATGTTTCAATTTAGATAACAAGACATCAATTCTGAATTCCTTCCTTCCTTCCTTCCTTCCTTCCTTCCTTCCTTCCTTCCTTCCTTCCTTCCTTCCTTCCACCCTCCCTCCCTCCCTCCCTCCCTCCCTTCCTTCCTTCCTTCCTTCCTTCCTTCCTTATCAGTCGTTGTATTATATGTAGTTTTTAAATTGTACAATCACTTTTTTGTTTTTTATTTTTCACCTTTTTTAAAAAATCTCTGAAATAATTATTTCTCTGTGTTTGTCTATACATTCTGTACATTGCAAATGTTTCTGAATCTTCACTGTGATAATTGCTTGGTTATAAAGCTAAAACCATTCCAAGATTTAATTAATTAATTAATTAATTGAAACATTGTTGTGATTGCTGTTGGGTGATCATCATCATCACTTGTAATTCCATTGTTGGAACCTATAATTTTTCATGTAATAATGAATTTGATTTCATTGTCCCATTCAGTTTCCAAAGAAACTCTTATCCATGTACAACCAGACAATTTAATTAGTTGAAAGGCTGCCCCACAATAGACAGTATAACAACAAAATCAAATGATTTGTAAACTTACCCATCTCTTTGGAGATTTTCCCCTCTGGGCATGGAACACAATCATAACAGCAGAATTTTTTTCCTTCCTTCTTCCTTTTCTGATATCCACGGTGACAATATTCATTACACAGAGAAATGGGGAGCACCTAGTTACCAATATTAAAATGTTGGAAGATGAGGATTGATTGTTTTCAAGAAAATTCAGTTGTTACACTGAAGATGGAATGTGCTGTTACATTAAAAAGAAAAGTCCCATCTAAAGGTTGTAAAACAAGAAATTGATTGGATTTGATGATTTATTTCAAAAACAATGAAGTACATTTCAATTTGCCCTCTGATTTTATTTTGTGAGCACAATTGATCTGGGTTTCCACTTTTTGTTTAATTAAATCCATACGGGAATTTCAATGTTTTTATTAGTTTAAACCATCAATTTGACCAGAAGTATTGAGTCAATCCATCACACGCTTGATAAAAATTTGATAAAGCTTCACTCAACTAGAGAAATATAGTCCCTTAAAAGCATGTTTTTTTTCTTTCTCATTTACATTGCAATATAAATGAGGGAAATGAGGGAAGTCCAATAAATATAGTGCACAATACCAAATATTGTTATCTTTTAACAATTAAAGGGAAAAGAAAACATTTCTTAATCTGGTTATCTTCATGGGTTCACCAGGAGAATAAATGCAAATCTAATAAATCCATATGTGATGTTTCATTAATTCAATTCATCTATTTGATCAGATGAATTGAGTCAATCAAATTTGCTTTAAATCTCATCAAACATTCAACCAAGGAAATATAGTCATTTAAATGCATTTATTTTCTGTCACATTTTCAGTTTGCTATTTGGGGGTAACTCTAATAATGTGCCCAATATTAGTGAAGTTAGTTTTCCACATTTAAACATCATTTTTTTTAAAAAAAAAAAAAAACCTCAGCTCTTCCTCGTGGTTTGCCTGGAAGGAGAACAATAAATTTCCAAAAGAAACCATACGAGAATGGGTCACAAAAATTCTTCTTGAAACTATACCTGGTTAAATGATCTATGCCAAACAATCATGTCCTCATTAATGACTAATTCCTGTCCTTTTACGGAATCAGGATCCACTTTTCCAATCTTGCGTCTCTGGAAAGTGGAATTGGGAAAGACAACTATGTTTGCGATATCAAATCCACCTTCCATCTTCTTTTGATCATAAAAAGTCAATGTTTCTCCAAGAGAATTGTTGTATATCATGCCTCTAAGAAACTGGTGGAGCTTTATGATTGGGAATAATAACAGAGGTAAATCAAACAATAGAAATGTATGAGTAATTTTATCACAGTTGTACTATACTATACTATGTACTATATAGTATATAATTGTACTATACTATATTATATTATACTATACTGTACTATCCCATCCCATCCCATCCCATCCCATCCCATACCATACCATACCATACTATACCATACCATACCATACAATACTATCCCATCCCATCCCATCCCATCCCATCCCATCCCATACCATACCATACCATACCATACCATACCATACCATACTATACCATACCATTCTATACCATACTATACCATACCATCCCATACCATACTATGCCATCCCATCCCATACCATCCCATCCCATCCCATCCCATACCATACCATACCATACCATACCATCCCATACCATCCCATACCATCCCATACCATCCCATACCATACTATGCCATCCCATCCCATACCATACCATACCATACCATCCCATCCCATCCCATACCATACCATACCATACTATGCCATCCCATCCCATACCATCCCATCCCATCCCATCCCATCCCATCCCATCCCATACCATACCATACCATACCATACCATCCCATACCATCCCATACCATACTATACCATCCCATCCCATCCCATCCCATCCCATACCATACCATACCATACCATACCATACCATACCATCCCATACCATCCCATCCCATCCCATCCCATACCATACCATACCATACCATACCATACCATCCCATACCATACTATACCATACCATCCCATACCATACTATACCATACCATACCATACCATACCATACCATCCCATCCCATCCCATACCATACCATACCATACCATACCATACCATACCATACCATCCCATCCCATCCCATCCCATCCCATACCATACTATACCATCCCATCCCATCCCATCCCATCCCATCCCATACCATCCCATACCATCCCATACCATCCCATACCATCCCATACCATACTATACCATACCATTCTATACCATACCATACCATACTAAACATATATACAACTATATAGGAAAACATGCAAAGTCCATTTCTCCAGTCCCTTGAGAATCTGTTTGCTATCTTTTGCACATGATAATCAATAGTCTGATAATCCATGTTGTAATTGGTTTTTCCTCTACTTGGATTTGCATCATATGTGTACTATGCTCAGGAAATAAAATAGAAAACATAGTACTGAGAGGCTAAGCCCAAGAATGAGATACAAAAGCCTTGGTAGTACAGTGTCTAAAGCACCCTGTTATTAAGACCAGCTGCCTGCAATTACTGCAGGTTCGAATCTCGCCAAGCTCAAGGTTGACTCAGCCTTTCATCCTTTCTAAGGTAGGTAAATTGAGGACCCAGGTGTGGGGGCAATAAGCTGACCTTGTATAAATATACAAAAGGATGAAGGCTATTGCTTAGCGCATTGTGAGCACATTGTAAGCCGCCCTGAGTCTCCAGAGAAGGGCGGCATATAAATCAAATTAAAAAAAAATGAACCAGAATTCAGGTTTTTTATTTGCTTTCACTGTAGGAATAATTTTCCCATACTAAATTCTTACTATTCACATCCTGATGGATATTCCCTGAGAGATTTGAGGGTGTGGTTATTCTAACTCTCTTCCTCTGTCTCCTCTGACTTCTCTAAAATTTGAGGGTGTGCTGTCTGTTCTCTCCCCTTCAAAACAGTTTCTGAAATGTGCTCCCAGGAAATTGCCCCTTCACTGTAGTCCATCATATCAGCTCTCTTCTACATGTGCCATTTCCCACAATTACAGGGATGGAAATAGAGGCATGAAATTAAAGATCATCAATAGAAATATTTATTTATTTATTTATTTATTTATTTATTTATTTATTTATTTATTTATTTAATTATTTAATTAATTATTTATTTAATTAATTATTTAACAGCAAGTACAAGGAAACAAGTTTCAGTAAAGACATAGACATGGACAAATGAAAAAAATGGCACAAATAAATGGCTATAAATAAGCAAAACATAGCCATAAACACATAAAATGAGTACATACAAATGGGGACAGTAGGGTAGGGATGGTAGGCATGCTGGTCTGCTTATGCATGCCCCCTTAGGGACCTCTTAAGAAATGTGTAAGGTCCATGGTAGACAGTTTAAGGTAAAAGGTATGGGGGTTAGAGGAACTAAAAAAAAAGTTCAAGTAGACTGTTCCAGACATTTATTACTCTATACTCTAGACATCTATTACTCTTGCTGAAGTTGTATTTTCTACAATCAAGATTAGAGTGGATTACATTTAGTTTATATCTATTGATAGCCCTTTATTATTACAGTTGAAGTTAAAGTAGTCATTAACAGGTAGGCTGTTATGTTCAAATCCATTTTAGTAGGTGCAACTTCCCTCTCTAAATCATACTCACTAACCATGTACTTTGCTATTGTCTAATACAGAATACTTCTAGCACACAAATCACCTGCCATTGTTGTGATTCTTCAAATTCTGATGATTTATGCCTCAAAAAATGCTTGTGGTTAGATCGACGTAAGTGGAGAGCATGTAAAGCTTGAGCCAATACATAGACAGCATTATAGACACTATAGCTGTGCCCAGACAGCTCCACCTCAAAAAGAGCACCAGGAATGTCCCTTAGCTTCTCCTTTCCGGTACAGATGTGTTCATCCAGTTTGGTCAAAGAAGGAGATGGCAATAAACAATCAAACACTTGTTCCCAGAAAAGTGGGAAAAATCCATCTCCTGGAATCCAAGGAGGTTTTAGGAACTTCAAGAATTCCTTAAACCCTGGAATTTCTTTTGAGTGAATTGTAAAGCAAATGGAACCATCAAAGAACTGCCGATCCCATTTTTTATTCATTCCTGTTAATAAATAATCCATCTGGGCAGTCATGATCCATACTTTTCCCAAGGTAGTCTGTTCATGTCCAGGATCCAACCCAAAAATGATATTCGTTAACCATGCGATTGTCAAAGATTCTCCGCAGATGATAAAGATCTTGATCTTTTCATCAATTATGTGTTTATAAATATTATTAAATGTCTTAAACATCTCAAAAAGTTTATCCCAATAGGTTAAATATGGAATTCTCTCCATACAAGCAGAGCAGATTCCATGCTTGGAAAAAAGGGACTCCATGGTCTCCAAAAAATGTTCTCCTTCAGTGTTATCAATAGCAAAGAGCCCAACCCATCTCCACCCAAAATATTGAAGCAGTCGGATTATCCCAATGTACTGCGAAGACTCATTTGGGACCACAGAGTAATAGAAGGGAATCTCTGTGCTATGAACATCTTGTGGAGTAAAGGATCCATATGTGAGCTAAAAGAAACACATATTATGAAAATATATCAGTATCTTTTTTTTGTCATATTTTCCAACCAATTTAGTCAGATTGTTGAGGTGTGTAGCCAGGGAATAGCCATTTTTTTAAAAAAACAGCCCCAGTTTGCAAAAAAGAAAAGAAGGGGGAATTTTCATGCCTATGTTTCCAACGATCCTACCTGTGGAATCTTGTAAAACTTCACGAGATGTGCGATGTAGGAGGAAGTTCCAAAGCTGTACCCTCCTATGATAGAAATGAGATTTCTCCCGGTGTCACATTTATAGTTGGGGACAAATCTCTCTGATCTGAAAAGCAGATCCATCGTAGTTCGATAGGTCATTATGGCATTGTAGTAGCTATCGTGAATGGAGAAGCCAAGAGTGACATTGGGCAAGATTTCTGGATTCTCATTGATCTCCTTCACAGCAAAGACCAAGGAAAGGACATGCTGGTAGAATTTTGTTAGCACGCTGAAAACAGGATGAATTTACATATATCATTAAATATTTCCAGATTATTTTCCTGGAAGTTCAGAGAGGTGCTTTACCCTATCTGCATGCACATTTGGGGAATGACCAATGCAACTCTAGTTTTAGCTCTACCGCACTGAACCTGTGATTTCCACTGTTGCAGATTGAATCAAAGTGCAGCCAATATCCCTGAAAACACTTTCTCACATAACAAAGTGTTCTCATTATGAAATCAAATAATCTACTTTTCTCTTTATTCATTGCAATTCCTCTAACTACATAGAGATGACAGAAAGGTTGAATGATAAGAATCGCTTACTCTGGATGTTCAAAATACTCCTCAGAGGGATGCTGCTGAAATGAAACTTCATTAAATTGGTAGTTAGCCATGGATACCATCCCACCAATGACAAAGTCCCCTTGCTGGTACCATTCATTTGGAACAGGTATGGGTTCACCTGAATGACACGGCAGAGACTTCACTCTGAAGAGTGGAAATAGGAGAAGAAAGAAAATTCTGGGCATTAAACACTCTCTAAGTATAGACCCTCCACTACCAGCAGCTTCCCATGTTCATCTGTATTCACTAGCCTCAAACTTGCTGTTAAAAGCAAGGCTAACTCTTAGCCCTGATTCTTATTGCATATAGTGATAATACTGAAAAAGGTCTGAATGGCAATGTAGAGTTCCAGAAACACAGTTGGAGCAGTTAATCTGGAGCAGTTGAAATCACAAGACTTGTGTGTTCTTGTCTTCTACTCCCCAGTGTCCATGGGACAGTCTTCTTCAGTTGTTTACAGTTTTGATGAAACTGTTGTTTCATCAAATGATGAGAAAATTATCACCATTAGAATAATTTTGGTTGGGAGATCATTATGTCTTTCTCTCTCTCTTTGTGTGTGTATGTATCTATATGTACTATATATGCATATATATATATATATATGTGTGTGTGTGTGTGTGTGTGTGTGTGTATGTATGTATGTATACACATACATGTATACACACACACACACACACATATATTCTACAGATTCTACCTATGTAAACCAAGATGTTATGCAGCCTTAGTTTAGTGAACTCACAATTCATCAGTTTCTGGGCTTTTTTAATTTTTCCTTTTCTTCTGGCAGCCAGCAGACCCTTTGCTGCCCATTGGGAGACTAAGATAGATCTATTTCAGCCTTATAAGGCCTCAGATATAGAAATAGATCTATCTTAGATCTAGAAATAGATCTATCTTAGTCTCCTAATGGGCAGCAAAGGGTCTGCTGGCTGCCAGAAGAAAAGGAAAAAAAAGCCCAGAAACTAGTGAATTGTGAGTTCACTGAACTAGGGCTGCATAACATTTTGATTTACGTAGGTAGAACCTGGCTAAAGAGACATACACATAAAACCTACGAAAAGGAAAGAAAACATATATATATTCTTACTTCTTCGTAGGTTTTATGTGTGTTTTTCCTCTAGCCAGGTTTTTCCTACGTAACCAAGGTTTTTCTGCAGCCCTAGCTCAATGGAATCACATCCACTCGATTCTGGGCTTTTTTCTTTCTGGCAGCCAGCAAGTTCTTGCTGCCAGGTGAGAGGCATATACGTATATGTATAATTTATATTTGCTGATAAAGAAATAAAGGGAGACTAGTATAGATCTCAAGCTATTTAGCTCTCATCAGCTAGCCAATACCCTTACTCGGATTCAAACTTGGGCTGCCTGCATATTAGGCAGTTGTATTAACCTCTGAGCCACAAGTTCTCCTCCCTTTATCAGCTGTGCCAGGGGAGAGATTAAGTGTTTTTTCTGTCAAAGCACCTGGTCTACCACACTATAGGAGGGAGCATACTGCTTACCTTTTGCCTTTCAGCTCCAATCCAGGAGCCCTCAGGCAGTCGCTTTCACGACAAACTATTTTGTACCAAATTTATATTTGCTGATAAAGAAATAAAGGTAGACTAGTATAGATCTATTTCAAGCTATTTAACTCTCATCAGCTGTGGCTCAGAGGTTAATACAACTGCCTAATATGGCAGCCCAAATTCAAATCCGAGTAAGGTTGAGAGAGAGAGAGAGACGGGGGGGGAGAGAGAGAGAGAGAGAGAGAGAAGGGGAGGGAGGGAGTGTGTGTGAGAGAGAACATATTCATATACATACACACATATTGAAGACATGTTGAATTTAGTATCGCTTTGTGACATAGAGTGGAAATTCAGAGGGGAACTTCAATTTATCTTGTAGATACATTTTGAGCATTAAAACTTTGGTCATTTTCCACTTTTCAGCTAAAAAGTATTTGTATGTTCATGTAAGATTCACTATAACGAACACTGGACATATTTAAACAAAGTGTATTTCTGGAGTAAAATGAATGGTTACAAATATGACTTCCCAGGGTATTTTGGGAATAGAACATTGTCCCTTTTGTAATTTTTAGGCCTTGTCACGTTGTCATATGAATGACACAACAGATTAACAATTACATTAATCTGCAGAAGCTGATCCAAATCTATCTGGAAGGGATCTTGGCCTGAATCCTGACTGAAATAGATCTAGGTAAACTGTTTCATTCAAGGCCTTCTGAACCAGTTGTGCCGGGAGGTGCTTTACCAGGGATGGGATTTAGCCGGTTCTCACAGGTTCAGGTGAACAGGTTGTTAAATTACTACTACCACCCCGCTATCAAAGTGGATCCTGGGCACTGCACTGGACTGCAACTGAGAAACGGGCAATGGATGGCCAACGTGAGGGAAAGAGAAGGCCATTTCCCCTCTTTCTTCTCCCTGCTCCTCCTTCCCTCATGCCAGCTGTTCCATTGCCCGTTTCTCCATTGCAGCGCAACAGAGCACCCAGGATCCACTTTGATAGTGGGAGGGGTAGTTAATTTAACAACTGGTTCACCCAAGGTCAGGATGCTTGTCCAGCATGTGCAGCAGAGCTGGAGGACGGGGATGGGGCATGCCTCCCATGACAGCCAGCCTGGCCCTGGGTGAACCGTTGTTAAATTATTTGAATCCCACCACTGTGCTTTACCCCATATGCATACCCAATTGGGGAATGACCAATCCAACTGTATTTCCAGCTCTGCTGCACTGAACTAATTCATGTGATGTTCACTGTTGCAGATTGAATCAAAGTGCAGCCAATATCCCTGAAAATACTTTGTCCCACATAAGAAAGTGTTCACTGTCAATTCGCAAAGCATCCCTGGCCTGCTCTCAAGTTGCCATAGGCCAGGGGTGATGGGAAACCGGTGAAATGGCACAGTAGCCAAAGACAGATGCACATTCCACGCTTATCTCTCTCAAGGCTGTAACCCAGGATTACCTACAGCAGCTGGAGGGGAGTGACCTCTACAACCCGCAAAATTGCTCTGTTGGCGAATGTGATTGATGACACACCCTGGGGGGAGGGGGAAAACAGGGTCATAATAGGAGTGTAAATTATGTAGGGTCAGAACTGGCTGCACTTGGGAACATGCCGACATGAAGCTCCTAATAAATAACTGAATTTCTTTGGAAGCTTGGCTTGAGGCTCATGATTTAATTAGGGCATCTGTCGGAACCATTTTTCAACCAAAATACATTATTTTGTTAGTGCAATTGTCACAGTAACAAACTTGGAGGCACATACAGAGAGTGCATTTCCCTAGTAAAATGGAAGAGTTATTAGTATTACTTCCCAGGCATTGTTACATAGTCATTCAAATCTTTATTGTCAGTGCACAACATATGTACAATGAGATTGGTCATCTGAATAATCCAACTGATCAATCAGTTTAGACTGCAGAATCTGATCCACATCTCTAGAAGGGATTTGTAGTCCATGCAGTGCAATTAATTTGAGTGGATTCACATCTGGTGCCTGCTTTCAGAATACATCTATCCCATTGTTTGTCCATGAGGGAGCTCCTGAATGCCCTTCAACTTGCAAGACATCAACCCTGATGTCAGGGTTACCCTGATTTCCATTCTCACTTGAGATTTCTCCATGACTCTGAATTCCATTAGAATTAAAATTATACAATTTTCACAGCAGAAGACCAAGATGTGGCTTCTCAAATAGATGAAAAACCAATATATATATATATATATATATATATATATATATATATATATATATATATATATATATATATATATATATATATATATATATATTATTTGAACTTTCCACATAGTTGCTTTTGGTCATAGTTAAAGACTGAATAATATAACATTAAATTGAACTATTAATCTATTCTTCTAGTCAGGTGTTGTTTTGTGTTAAGATGTGGGTTCAAGATAATGATGTAGCATTTAGGCAGGAAGATGCAACCCAGGAGACCTGCAGTAGAGCCCAAGATGGAGAAGATCTCCACAGCCACCATGTATTTCCCCTTGGTGCTCAGATAGGCTGGGATGAAGGACACCCAAATGCTACAGAACACAAGCATGCTGAAGGTGATCAGCTTGGCTTCATTAAAAGTATCAGGCAGTTTTCTGGCAAAGAAAGCCACAGTGAAACTGATGGTGGCCAGGAGCCCCAAGTAGCCCAGGACAATGTAAAACATGGCATCTGAGCCTTCATTACATTGAACAATGATCTCTTCAATCTGCGAATGCATGTCCCACTCAGGGAAGGGAGGAGACATGATCAACCATACCATGCAGATAATAGCTTGAATACATGAGCAGAAGACAATGATGGATCCTGCCAGTCTGTTTCCTAGCCATTTCCTCATCTGGTTTCCCGGCTTAGTGGCCAGGAAGGCCACAATGACTGTGATGGTTTTGGCCAAGACACAAGAAACCGAGAGAGAGAAAATGGTGCCAAACATAGTTTGCCTGAGAAAGCAAGTCACCCTGCCAGGCCAACCTATGAAGAGCAGAGAGCACAGAAAACAAAGCAGGAGAGAGGAAAGAAGGATGCATGTGATGTTCCTGTTGTTGGCTTTGACAATGGTGGTGTCCCAGTGCAGAATGAAAGTCACAGCCACCAAAATGAGGGTTGAGGAAAAGAAAAGAATCAAGGACGTCAGAACAATTCCCAAGGATTCATCATAGGATAAATAGCTGAAACGTTTGGGAAGGCACTGGATCTTTTCTTCATTCGAATACTGATCCACTGGGCATCTCTCACATTGGTTAGCATCTGAAATACATGAAGAAGAACAAATCATTTCCAACTATGTAGGACAATATATAGAACTAACTGAGAGAAATCATTCCTGATGACACGATTCACAATCCCCTTGACATGTACCCAACAATGCTTTCTTAACAAGTGTTAAGAAAGTTCTGGACTGTTATTTATGTAAATATATTCTTTTGAACTGCAATATTAGTAGACAAGTACTCTGAAAAGAACAACAATTCTCAACATAGCAAAGGATATCAGAATAGAATGGATGTATGGAAGTATTTAAAAAAAAAATCTATTGCAGTTTACCCCAAACTTTATTCCACAAAATAGAATAACAACGATGGAAAGAATAAAGAAAAGCTGAGTTTGCAAACTCTCAATTCTCATTTGTCTCTTTACTTACCCATTTCAACTGATATTCTTCCTTCGGGACACTGTATACAATTGTAGCAACATGTATGTTTCCCCTCCTGAACAACCCTGCTGTATCCCTGACGGCAGCTCTCTACACATCTGGCATGAGGAGGTACCTGGAGAAAAAAACATCAAGCCTGATTCATCCATATTGGGGGTTATGAAAGGAGCCTTTCCAAAGAATTTGTACAGTTAAGACATTCGCTTATAACTGGCTAATCCTTTCAATCCAGAAACATCCAAAGCCTATTGAGGTGCTCATTTCTATTTCTCCATTTTATCAGGAGAAATTAGTAAATTTAGGAGCATGCATAATCTTCTGACGTCAACATGTCCCATGATGCTTTTGGAGAGTGTCCATGTTTACAGCAAATCATCCTATGAATAGGATGATGAGTTCTGAGTTTTCTGCAATCACATCAATTCTCATTTGTTCTTGTACAACAGTGGTTCCCAATTTGATTTTTAATGGGGGCAATTTGAACCTTGTTTAAACCAAATTAATGGACTTTTAGGCTTCCTCCGCATGAGAAGAATTCACTTTTTGAGTAAAGTAAGAATTATATGTCACAGGGGGAGCATCAGGATTTTAGAAATGCTGAGGTGGGGCATGGCCAAAAAAAGGTTGGGAACCACTGTGCAGAACAAGAAAAATGGATAATAGAGAGCATGGGAGTCTCTGATGGGGGATATCTAAAACGTTTCAATCCTAGTAGAAATCAGAGCAACCTAGACAGTCTTACAAACTGTGGTCTAAACAGAAGTGAAAAATTTCATTATGTGTGAAATAACATCAATTTTCTTTCTGTAGGATGGGAATATTCTTGTTGTTTCTTTATATCTGCCAGAACTTGAACTCAAGAAAGTCATATGGAGTAAATTCTGAGCAGTCCTCACCTCCAGACACAAATCATTTGTATACACAGATTTCTCTAAAAGTGTGTCCATAGGAGCACAACCACCTATAATAAACGTTTTTGTTTTCAGACAGTATCCTCTTTTTAATAATAATAATAATAATAATAATAATAATAACAACAACAACAACAACAACAACAACTTTATTGTCATATGTATATACACAGTATACACATACAACGAAATTCACTTAACACCCAAAGACCAGGTCCAACACACATAACAATCCCCAAACACACTCCCACACACCACAATTCCCCACCTCTAAACCACCCAAACATCCACACAACAGACCAAGTAATGCTGTCCAACAGCTCACTGATGGTGGCCCTTTAGTTCATTGTTGAGTGCAATTATAGCTCTGGGATAAAAACTATTCAGAAAACGTGTGATCTGAGTTTTAATTGTTCTGTATCTTCTGCCAGAAGGCAATAGTCCAAAAAGATTGTAAGCAGGATGGGAAGAGTCTCTGAGAATGTTATGCAACTTTCTCAAACAGCAAGATTCAAAGATGTCATCCAGGGCTGGTAGCTGGAGTCTGATGATATTCTGGGCAATTTAATGATTCTCTGCAGAGCTTTTTTGTCCGCTACAGAGCTGCTCCCATACCATGCAAGAATGCCATATGTCAGGACACTCTCAATGGTGCTACGATAGTAGGACAGAAGTAGATGCTGAGATAGATTTATTTTCCTGAGCATTCTCAGGAAGTACAGCCTCTTCTGTACTCCCTCATAACAACAGTATCTAACATTAAATATTATATTGGGAAAATACAAAAGGAAATTGTATTGTAGATTTTAAAACATACCCAAAAGTTCATGAAGATGAATTCATCTTTGCAAAAAAAAAAAAGAAAAGAAAGCAAAAAAAAGAAAGAAAGAAAGAAAAGAAAAGGAGGGGGGACTTTTAAACAATTTTGAGAATGATTTGTTCAATGTCTGTGTATTTACTTGGTTTTTACACACATTTTTCAATTGTATGGGAGAAATAACAACCTGCTCTTATTTAATTTATACATAAGTAGCATTTACAAAAAAGATTCATGACAAGTTTAAACCTGTTTCCTCTTTACATTTATTCTGCTTGTTACAAATAATGCAGAAATTTTTTTAAAAAAATAATAGCATGTCAAACAAATTAAATAAAACACAAGGACACATACACAAATATTCATATCTCATATTAATTTCAAAATGCAACTAAATTCCATGTAGATATCATCATCATGAAGACCATCCTAAATATTTAGCAAAACCACAAGGTTCCAGTGTACCATCATTGTCCTTCGCTTCTGGGCTTTCGGGTCATTGAAGAAGAATCTCTTCCCCTCCAAATAATACTCTATAGCCATGATGGCAAACCTATGGCACATGTGCCACAGGTGGCATGCGTAGCCATATCAGTGGGCATGCCAGCTCAGTTCTGGCACGCATGTGCTCGCTGGCTAACTGTGCCCACCAGAAGTAGGGAAACAGGCTGTTACCTGCCTCCGGAGGGCCTGGGGGTGGGTGGGTAAGGCCCGTTTTTCTTTCTCACCTGGCTCCAGAGCCTTTCTATGCATCTGGAGAGGGGGAAAACAGCCTTCCCCACCCCCTCAGAGGCCCTCCGGAGGTCCAAAATGGCCCATTTCCCAACTTCCGGGTGGAAAGGAAGTGATGTTTTTTGCTGTCCCCAGCCTCCAGAGACTCCTAGAGAGAGAGAAAAACGGGCCTACCAGGCCCTCATTGTCGAGCCTAGCAACCTAGAGACTCATGTGCCAGGAGAGGTCGGAGGAAGGGGGAGTTGCTTGTGCATGCATGAGGCAGGGCACATAGAATTATGGGTGTGGGCACACGCACATGTGAACCTCCACCCCCCCCTCCTGGCACGTGATGGCAAAAAGGTTAGCCATCACTGCTCTATACTATTATAGTATACCAAATATCCCACCTGCTGAAACTTGTGATTCCACACAATGGCACTTTCATTTATGCTGATTTTTTTCCCATCAGGAGCTTTGGAGACCATCTTCCCAATCTGAACTCTCTGGAAGGATTGATTGTGGAAGGTGACAAAGTTGAAGATATCGTATCCTGGGTCAAACTCCCCTTTCTCATCAAAAAAGATTTCTTCTTCCACACTGTTATTAAAACGGGTGTTTTTCAGAAAATAGTGAAGCTGGATTTGAGGGAGAGGAAAAGTCAGAGCATTTATCCTCGTCTTTCCCAAAGTTTGGCTTTGTTCAGTATTCCAACAGAGTTTCTGTAGTGAATCTTATCAGAATTGTAATATAATTCCTTTCTGGTTTGATTCAGAATTCTCTTCAAGCCATGCACCACATCCCATTTTCAATTTCAGCAATATCAGATCCAAAAATTTCCTTACATTTATTCCTTACACTGGAATATGTTAACAGATAAATTAAGATTCTTGGTATAAAAGATCTTGATATAAAATTCTCACACAGCGTTGCAGAAATTTCTTTCGATCTGAATCAATAAACTTCTTAAGTTAATATTACTTAAATTGTTTGATATCTTGGACATTTAAATTAGCATTTCCAGTCCTGCATAGCCTATATGTCTGGATATACTGTATTATAATGTATGTAATACATCCAGAGTGTTACCTTGCAACTTGATCACCATAACTGGACTTGAAAATTTTATAAATAAGTAAAACTACAGTTGAGTTAAGGTGTTTGTGTGCTGATTACAGAAACTGATAGGTTTCTCTCCGCACGCACAAATATGTAGCTTTAGATCATTTTTTTCCCCCAAGTTTAAGGGGTCCTGATTATCTAGTTGTAGTTGTAGTAGATGTTGCAGTTGTAGTAATTGTAGTAGATTTTGTGTGGAAAACCAATCATGTTTTTGGTCACATTTATGCAGAACTATTAAAAATTCATAAGGATTCACAAAAATTTGAGGATTACCATATATGCAAAAGGATAGATGGATAGGTAGGTAGGTAGGTAGGTAGATAGATAGATAGATAGATAGATAGATAGATAGATAGATAGATAGATAGATAGGCAGACATGCATTGAAAACTGTTACAGTTTTATAACACAGCAGCTGGTGTAGCAAGAACAGATGAGTTGTTTACTGAAAGAGAATAGGAGAGTTTTGTGCATTCAAATTTTGGGAGATGTTAGATACAGTATGAGTTTTTTTTCGCCAGAAGTTGCTGATATTAATGGAATTTCATGTCCTGGAACAGCACTAAATAGCAGATCTCCAAAACGTAGCTACTTCTGGAGCTGCTCTGACTTTGAAGACGATTCTTTGATATGTTTGAGCTGCACTAGTTACTGAATTGCAGGCAAAATCTTGCCAAAAGTTAATTGGTTGCTGCAGAGAAACAAATCCAGAGTGTTCCTACTGCTGCTTTCCTTCCCATCCACATCAGGGCTTCTACAAATCTATCTGAGAAGAGCAATGACATACCTCCCATGGCTGAAAATGCCAAAGATTTGATCCATCCCGATTCCTCAGAGGAGCTGGCTTTGCTCTTTTTGCTCTTCTTGAATGCATTGCTTGCACAGCATGTGCTGCAAGGTAAACCCCATTGTAGATATTGTAGCTCTCTCCAGACATGGTCATTTCAAACACAGAGCCAGAAGCTTTCTTGAGTTTTTCCCTCCCAGTGCAATGTTTACCTTTTATATGATATGGAGGCAATGAACAATGAAATACAGACTCCCAGAACCAATTAATATAAGGAAAGGGACTTAGAGAAGGTTTTATTCTCTCAAGAAACTCCTGAAATCCTGGCACAATCCTTGTGTGGAGTGAGAAGTATAAGGAACCATTGAAAGTCTGAACTTGGAATCTCCCTCGTGCTGATGAAATCACGGTGAAATCCCACTGGTAGGTCATGATCCATACTCTGTGATCTATTGGGTTCTTATGGTAAATTTCAGAAGAATAAAGTCCCCATTGTAAAGTCTCCATAGATTGGGCAGTCCCAGAGGCAAGGAATATCCTGATATTCTTCACTAAGATAGTGTCTATTATGTTTGTTACACGATCAAAAAGGACATACTTATTTTTGACTGCATCCATTATAATTGGGATCAACCCCATCCAACCAATGCAAATATCACTCTGGAAGAGCCTTGGTTGAAGATGTTGAAGAAATGCTTCCCCACTCTCATCCTCTGAGACCAAGAGGCCAATCCAGTTCCATCCAAAATGTTTTAGTAAGTGAACAATCCCTTCGTATTGCAAATTTTCATTGGGAACCATGGTGAAGAAGGAAGGGAATTGCCCTTTGTCACTCAGGACTGGGTCAAAGGAGCCATAATTCAGCTGTTGGGAAGAATGATGCATAGAAAATTAAACTGAGAGTTCTTTTACGATTGTGAAGAGCAGAGCACCCAGATCAGCACATCGTACCTGAAAACCTCAGCAGTGGCCAGGGAACTGAAGGGCAAGAAGGTAAGGAGGAAAAGGATGAATACAAAACACCTGTGGACAGGGAGAAAAGGGATAAACTTTCAAGGCAGAGAATAGAGGATTAACAGCAAAGCATTTCCTGGAAAATAGGCTGAGATGTCCAGCAAAAAGAAGTGTATATCATTTCATAAAGGGCCAAGAATTTTTGTAAATGTTTAAATAATAAGCTGGCTTTGTATAAATATACAAAAGTATGAAGGCTATTGCTTAACGCATTGTAAGCCGCCCTGAGTCTCCGGAGAAAGGCGGCATATAAATTAAAGCAAAAAAAAAATGTTTAAAATCTCTCTATTTTTTAACTTCTTTTTTCAAATTTTCAAATTCCTCCTTTTCAATTTTAATTTTCAACTTCATTTCTCATTTCATTTTTTTAAACTTCTTTTTTCAACATTTAAATTTCTTTTTTCAATTTTTCAACCTTTTCCGATTTTCAAATTCAAATTTGACAAAATGATTAAATTAGTAGACCCACAAAATGCCGTCGACATAGTATACATAGATTTCAGTAATGCATTCGACAAAGTAGACCACAACCTACTTCTTGGTAAGCTACAAAATTGTGGGTTAGACAGCATCACCACCAGATGGATTTATAACTGGCTGACAAACCATACTCAACGAGCAGTCCTTAATGGTACTACATCTACATGGAGGGAAGTAAGTAATGTGGTACCACAAAGTTCTGTCTCAGTACTCTTCAATATCTTCATAAATGACTTAGATGAAGGAATAGAAGAGGAACTCATCAAATTTGCAGATGACACTAAATTGGCAGGAATAGTCAACACCCAAGAAATCAAACTCAGGATCCAAAAGGCTTTTGACAGATTTGAACAATGGGTCCTAACCAACAAAATAAAATTTAATGTGGAGAAAAGAAAAGTTTTACACTTAGGCAGGAAAAACCAAAGGTACAAGTACAGATTAGGTGAAACCTGGCTCAAAAACAATAACTGTGAGTGGGATATTGGAGTCCTAGTGAACAATCACTTAAACATGAGCCAGCAGTGTGCAGCAGCAGCCAAAATATAATCCTTGGCTGTATAAACAGAGGTATACAATCAAAATCAAGTATTAGTACCAATTTATGAAACCTTAGTAAAACCACACCTGGAATACAGCATCCAGTTTTGGTCACCAGATTACAAAAAAAGATGTTGAGACTTTAGAAAAAGTGTAGAGAAGAGCAATTAAGATGATTAAAGACCTGGAGACTAAAACTATAAGAAAGGCTGAGCGCCAAAGAATTGAGGCCTTTGAACTATGGTGCTAGAGAAGACTCCTGCGAGTCCCTTGGACTGCAAGGTGATCAAACCAGTCAGTCCTAGAGGAGATCAACCCTGACTGCTCTTTAGAAGGCCAGATCCTGAAGATGAAACTCAAATACTTTGGCCTCATGAGAAGGAAGGACTCACTGGAGAAGAGCCTAATGCTGGGAACGATTGAGGGCAAAAGAAGAAGAAGACGGCAAAGAACAAGGTGGCTGGATGGAATCACTGAAGCAGTCAGCGTGAGCTTAAATGGACTCCAGAGGATGGTAGAGGATAGGAAGACCTGGAGGAATGTTGTCCATGGAGTCATGATGGGTCAGACATGACTTCACAACTAACAACAACAGGAACACTTTTAGCCTGGCCTAAACTGATAGATAGGATTTATGAAAACAGAGGTTTCCTGTGTCTGTTTTCGTCAAACAAACTGATCTGTGAAAAAATGGTCATACCTGTGGAAACTTGTAAATATTCAAAATGTGGGCCATCTGGATGGAATTGAGCGAGGTGAGGTCACCAATGATAGGCAAGAAGTCCATCTCCGTCCTTCTTCCACAGTTGAAGTTCAGAGGACTCCCTTGATTCAGAAATAGAAAACCCAAAACATGCTGACTGGCCATCCAGGCATTGAAACTAGTTTCATAAATCTCCAGTGTTGGTGTGATGTTGGGGAATAGTTTGACATTCTTGTTGATCTCATCAATGGCAAAATACATAGAAAGAGGATACTGGGCATATTTCGGTATCATGCTGAAATGAAAGTGCAAAACTACAGGTAAGTATATCACAAAAAAGAACAATATCTAATTGTATGCAATGTAGATAATTTCTGCAATTTATATGGAGGAAATTAAATTTGAATTTCAATGAAGGATACTTTTTGCTTTGAACATTTTTCTGACACCTCAACAGCCACTGATGGTTGAGCAACAGAATAGGAGCCATGCATCTCAATCCTTTGTAATATAGCATAGATTCTATATCTATGCTAGATATAGAATCTATGCTAGATTCAGATAGATTCTTCTGAATCAGCAGTGATTTAAACATTTGCCATTACCATTGAAAGATTGTACTTGAACTCTACCAGTTATAAAATTCCACTTCTTTCATTCTTGACACATATGAAAAGCAGTATACTGTTTGTTCATTCATTCATCCATCCATCCATCCACCTATTCATTCATCCATCCATCCATCCATCCATTCATTTGTATTCTCTGTTATAAGTCATAGTGAAACCATCTCTTAACACTTTGATTACTATTAATCCTATTAATAATATAGCAACTATTCAAGTAATTTAGGAGACTTTTAGCAAGGCTTAGATGTCTAGGCAAGAATTTTGGAGTGGCTGGTTGAAATTCCTTTTCCTAATAGATACAGTAATGCTCAACCTGTCTTGTAAAATCATCTGCTGACAGAGTCTGCATTTTTCTTTGAAAGTCTAGGAACACCAGCATATCAACTTCATCAATCAACATTGGATGGTTAGACTGTATATTAATCTTGGGCAGCAAACTATACAATCAGGTCTATAAAATGAACTTTTAGTTCATACTTTGCTAATATGATGGAGCTTCCTTCTTTCATAGGAAAGGTACAGTGAAGATTGTAGAAAACATGTCCACTATTTAGTTCTTCCTAGAACTGCTATAAAAGTTTACACGCAACCACACATGTGATTGAATATACAGTAGTGGCCAAAAATGTGGAAACCTTTTGGGAAAAGTGTATTTTCTAAAACTGGCTAATAACACCACTTTTTTTAGGGGGAGTAGTATCATAAAATTATATATCAATGGAAAGATAATTTAATCAAGAATGTAATGCAATTAACTTTTATGAAAGATTTGCTATTAGAATAGCAGTTACAGTATAAAGAAGAAAAAACGAGATATACAAAAATGATCACCAAAGAGAAAACAAGATATACAAAAAATATCACGTCAGTTAATACTTAGTTGGGTAACCTTTAGCATGAATTAATGGCCTTACAATGTCTTCCTATGGAGTGAACCAAGTCTTTTAGTTCTGCAGCTGTTATAATGTGAAACCAAGATTGAATGATTGCTTCTTTTAATTGGGTTTTATTGCTGGGTCGCTTTTGACTAACAAGTTTCTTTAGTCGGCTCCATAGATTTTCAATTGGGTTAAGGTCTGGGCTATTCCCAGGCCATTCCAGCAGAGGAATAGGATTATCTTGAAACTCCAAAAAAAAAAAAAAAAGAAAAAAGTGGTGTTATTAGCCATCAAACCTCAAAAATACACTTTCCCCAAAAGGTTTCCGCAATTTTGGCCACGACTGTATGTTAACACTTAAGATGGAAATAAATGTTCACACTCTTCTTCTGAATCTTGTAAAGTTTTTCAGTTGTTTCCCTTCATCTAATGCAATAAACAATTTGGGGGTGATGGTTTGAATGGCGGTTTCTCAGAATGGAACCACTTGGAAAATTGCATTCCTGTAAGATTCTGCTTATAATAGTTTGCTAGAAAGAATTGTGCTTTCCTGAATTTCAGTTTGTGAATTCTGATCTCCATGAGATAAATGATATGACACACACACCCGCCCCCAGTATTTGCTGGATTGAAAAAGATAGAGAGGTAATAACCCAGTTTCCTGTGAATTCTGTGGAACTTCCTTTCTTGAGATGGAGGGAGAAATCGTTTCTCCTTCTCCTTCTCCTTCTCCTTCTCCTTCTCCTTCTCCTCCCCCTCTTCTTCTTCTTCTTCTTCTTCTTCTTCTTCTTCTTCTTCTTCTTCTTCTTCTTCTTCTTCTTCTTCTTCTTCTTCTTCTTCTTCTTCTTCTTCTCCTTCTCCTTCTTCTTCTCCTTCTCCTTCTCCTTCTCCCCCTCCTTCTCCTTCTTCTTCCTCCATATTCATCATTGGATGCTGGCGATCATGTTGGCGAACCTATTTTTATCAACAGCTGCATGAAAAAGTGCTGCTGAGTTTTATTTAGTTGGTCAAGCATGTATGAGAAACAAGTATAAGTATGAACATAACATATAAACATATAAATATAAACAGGTATAAGTATATACATATTAAATGAGTATGAATAAATGGGAATAGTAGGACAGGGATAGTAGGCATGCTCATGCGCTTATGCATGTCCCCTTAGAGACCTCTTAGGAATGGGGTGAGGTCCACGGTAGACAATTTAAGGTTAACCAAGTCCCTTAGATTTTGAAGAAATAGTTTGGAGAATTTTTTCCCCCAAAAAATCCATTTATCTCAAAACTCATCTTTAGATTTCTAGATCTCTAAGAAAGTTCATTATAACCTGAGAAAGTCCCACATCCACGTTCTCAGTGGAAACCATGCTCAAAATATCTAACACCTCGAAATGTGACAGCCAAGCTAGCAGTGCCAACTTTGAAGCAGAATAATGTATCTCTTCTCTACATTCTATCACTTGTTTCTCTGGAATTGCATTACATTTTATTCAAAGAAGAACGAGGCACTCACTCACATGCCGTATTCAGAAATGTGTGGCACTTTTTTGAAACTCTGTGTACGTTCATCAGCTTTTATAAAGGAAAAAAATCCCCCAAGTATCATGTTAGCTCTGGAGGTGGAAAATTTCCTTGCAACATTAGAGGGCTGGAGGCAGATTGATTTCAAAGTCTCATTGACGCTGCCAGGAAAAAGGAAGAAGAGTGGAATAAATTTAAGTACTAGCAGACTTGAGCCATCATTCCATCCTTTCAAATGCATGGTCCAAAAATAAAATAA